CGTTTCAGGCTATAAAAGTTTATTAAAGGTGCAGCTTTTGTGAATTTAATTTCACTTCAGCAGAAGCACAGAGTAGCTAAATGCTACTTTTAATATTTTTTAATAAAATTTGTTATTTTGAAAATGTGATATCAGACTCTTTCTGACTTGGGTTATCATAGTCTTAACAGAGTTGTCCTCATCCAATAACTTTAGGAGGCCCGTAGCCTCAAAAATCAATTTAAAAAAACTTAAAACATACATGATTTAAAATGCAGCACCTCATTTATACACACATGTACATACAGACACAGTCATAAATGCCTGTATAGTCAGTTGGCAGCTTTATTATCTGTCACTTTATTTTTTTCCATTTGCTTGAAGGTAACTGGTTTTCACATTGGAAAAATCTCTGTCCTAAACACTTTCCTGTTTTCAAATATAATTTTTTTTAAAAAAAAATCAGGTCATAAAGATCATGTCCAAAGTGCCTAAATTAAGAGCAGCTCTTGTCTGGTTTCTAGCTGAAGTGCAATAATATTTATATTCCTCACTCTGATGGGTGACATTTAAAGTACAGTGAAGGACAACAATGAAGAGTGAATTATGCACTCTGAAATGGATAGCTGCTTGTGCGAATGATAGGTGTGTAAAGCTAATCCTCTGTCAAGAATGCTGATGAAACATTGAAAAGAAAACTGAGTCTCCCAGTTGTTTCTTTTCCTCCTCTCCACATACATATATAGCCTTAAATCTTAATACAATACCTTTAATTAAAAAATCATTGGCCTATAATCACAGATTTAGTGATTATAGTTCATGCATTAGAATAATGAAGTATGATGTCAGATGTATGTAGGTATGTTTACATTTAGCAGTATAGGTGTATACTGCTGAAACACAATAAGTACAGTATCATATCAGTACACAATAATCAGAGGGTTGATAATTTTATTTACTGTATGGAATTTACTTAAAGCAGATGCTGATTGCTGAGCAACATTTAGGATGGAGTACAGGTAATCCTTGACTCACGACCATAATTGAGGCCAACATTTCTGTTGTTAAGTGAGACAATTGTTACGTAAGTGAGCTTTTCTCCTCTTTATGACCTTACCTGCCAAAATTGTTAAGTGAATCACTGCAGTTGATAAGATAGTANAACAATCAACCAATGGAACAGCTTGACTTCAGAAGTTGTGGGAACTTCATCACTGGAGGCTTTCAAGAAGAGACTGGACTGTCATTTGTCAGAAATGATATAGGGTCTCCTGCTTGGGCAGGTTTTTTGGACTAGATGACTTACAAAGTCCCTTCCAACTCTGTTAATCTGTTAACCAGGAGAGGGTGCTTGGATAATTCCCTGAGAATCTGTTACATTACCCAATTGAGATCTTAGTCATCACTTGGAATGAAAGGTTGATGACAGTCTTGGATCAGTCTGTGCCTATTCAGCCTTTTCCAGTTGAGAATCTGGATGATCTCCCTAGCTTTCAGAAGAGCTCCAGGGTATGAATTAACAAAAGAACAATCTGGACTGCTGTTGTAGAAAGATCAGGAGCAAATCTAACCAAATATGTATATTGTATATAGTCTATAATAATAGTTATATCATGGCAATAACAGTGGCAAAATATAATAATATTTTCCTATCATTGTTGCACCTGCAGTGCTATTTGGCAACCTTGTTCAACATAACTAAGCCCCTACAAAGCCACTGAAAATTATTCTAGGCTTCTGATGGTTAAAGTCTCTTGGATTCATTCTAAACTTCGCTCCAGTTATGCATATCCTGTCAAGATGGCTTGAGGTAATAACTGTGAGATAATATTCAAACTGGTAAACCTCAAAACTGTTCCAAGGAACTATTTGAACTGATGTCTTTATTATACTGATTAACCCTGGCATTATATATGATAATGGAAAATGATCAACATGAATCTGGAAGCAAACAAGCAAATGTTATAACCAGCTGAAATTGAGAGTGAACCTCTCTTAATTTCATACTAACAACTTAGAATTGCTTGGAGGTGATAAATAGCTTGATAAATTTCTTAGTGTTTGTTGAGAATTGATTCATTAGTTTTTCCATCCAGCTTTTATTTTCCTTCATCAATTCTGGGCAAAAAAAAAACAAATCTCTTTTCTACTTCTCTAACTTTTGAAAAAAATCTTAATAGGAAGTAAATGAATTTATAAAAATTGAGTTTTTTCTTCCTTTCTTAGAAATAGATAAATATCATCAATATTGTCTATGATTTTCCAGAAAAGATGTTCTATGTATGGAACTGATATGGTGTATTTATCTCACTAAATTTTAATTTAGTGTTTCCAACATAATTCCTCCTTGAATTATGATATTCTTTACAGAACATTTTATGCACTGTTTAGAGGAAATAAATCATTATTATTTAGTTTATTTCATTTATGACAGTTGTTTTATTACTGACATGCAGTGTCAGTTTGAAAGCGCTCCATACTACATTGAATAATTTTATTCATGCACATATGCATACACATTTAAGGCAGTATTCTCTATAATCCAAATCTGGACCCAGATGAAAGTTTATTAGTGATTCAAGATGTGAAAGGTTACAGAGAGAGACACATGCTAACTTCCCAACTTTAAGTATAGTCCACGGAGCCTGAAAAAGTGGTCTGAATCCAATAATTGCATTCTCATGCTTGAATGCTTCCTGTAGATAGAAAGCTAGTAGTATTAACCTAAAGCCAAGTCTTGTCCATGTACCCCAACATAAAAATACTTATAAATTTTTCTTTCATGGATGAAACATGAAACTTTATTCTAGCGTCACATATGCGTAAATCTTGTTCATATACATTTAATTATAATTATATCTATCTTTTTTGCTGTATGTCTTTCCCTCTTTTATTTCTGTCTGTTGACCAAAAAAAAAAAAAAAGGACAGCATTTTATTTTACTCACTTCATAAGTTATTCTTGTATTATGACCAAGAATTTCCCCTTGATCCCAAAGTGCCTAAAACATATCACCCCCAACCTACTCAATGAAACAAGTAAATTCAGAGCCCAAAAACTTTATAAATCATATTTTTGTCCTTCGGATGATCCTTAGGCATATGCAGCTACTGAAAGTTGTGAATAAGTTACTAAATCAAAGACAAAGTACATTGAAAGGGATTCTTTAATACACAATAAAATAAATCTAGATTGCTTGGGAAACAGTGCACAAAAAAGAGAGGGTCAGAATACATAATTATAAACCCATCAACTTTTTCTGAGCAGCAATGTCAGTTTTCCTTGTGAGACCAAAATGAAACATTTCTTTGTTTCTCAAGCACAGGCTTTTAAGAAGATATACTATCATTCTATTAAGAGGATAAAAATGGCTTGTTTGATCTTCTGAATGTTAATGTGTTGAAAAGATTATTGGAAATAAGATTGCATTCTCTGAAGTGAGAAAAACATTATTCAGATGTCTTTAATTACATGACAAGTTGTTGCCCCTCCTACCCTTTAATGCATTAATAATGGGTTCCTACTTCAATTTGGTTTTGTAAAAGAGTGGCTTTAAAGATTTGAGAAGTTATAATAATGCATTATCAAGAATTTAGCTCTTACATTCTTATATCTGATGAATTATTGATACATTGTTTACTATGCTGTTTCTTTTCTCCTTCTACAATGTAATTGATATTAAATGCACAATTTTAACTGTGCCAAATTAAAAGACCCAATAACAAATCTAATGGGTTTTCTACTATCCAAATGCTTACCTGATTATTTGTTTTTTTTTAAATATTTATTTATCAAATGTATATAGCCATCCATCTCACGTATGTGATTCATCAAGATATGAATAACTATTTACATATAATTTAATTTGGAAATTGTATTTTGTTTCCTAAGAACTTGTTCCTAAGTGTGCTTTTACATAAAAACCAATGAACAATAAGTAGGGAAGTCTTTATGTATTACTTTGGGTGGTTCTCCACAATTTGAATTATAAGTTTCAGAAATCACGGCAAGTGTAATAAAATGGTTCAGTAACACTTCTAGGTATATAAATTCCCTACTCCTGTTTCAGCCATAACCCAACACACTGGATTTCAGACTAGAAGTCATCAGTGGTGTAAATATTGCACATTGTTCTGTTGTTGTCACTTCCAGTAATCAAACAATGCACATTTATAGATTTTTTTAAAAAAAAAATACTCTTTCTCCTAAAAGTGAAACCAATCCTCAAATAAATAATCAAGAGATGTATATTGTGGATTTAAATGTGGATTTAAGACAGTCCATTCTCCAATTAAATAAATTTTGAGGGCCAGAAACATAGTCTCTAGAATGAGTTCTGTCTCCGGAATGTGTTCTGTCAGTTAATTATAGAGATTATTGAGTGTTCCAGATAATTTGTGCAAGGTCTATCTGATCTAGAGGTTGGATGTTCACATATATTTCAGATTTATAATGATAATAATGGCTCAATCATAATAATATCCTTTGAATTTTAATAAAATATATTAACCCACAATAATTGATTTCCTTTTGTGCTCATTGGCTGAAAGGTTTTATGAAAAATTGCAATTAATTTTTAAAATGCAATTATGCCTTTACTAATTAGCTTAATGTAACAGTTTCCTCTTCTTGATATGTAATAACATGCCTGATAGCTACATGGTGTAATGTTACTGAAAAATTAAGTAATGCTTACTAAAAGCTTTTGAGTGACTTCTCTTGGGGCCATATTATTTCTGAGTACATTATTGTATTATTGTTATTAATAAAACCAGTAGTAAGTCGGTGATAGAATACTTCTTTCTCTTTCTTTCTTTCTTTCTTTCTTTCTTTCTTTCTTTCTTTCTTTCTTTCTTTCTTTCTTTCTGCTATTGTATAATGCAGTTTTATTGTGTAGATTTTCTTTCTGTTTTCTATTTAACCTGTTTCTTGTTTTTCTGCTCTTTTGCAGCAAATTTGCTGGATAGACTTTCGGTTTGCTGCTTGTTAAATCTGTTTTTTTTCTTTGTCAATTACCACAGGTTTAGTCCCTATGAGTGGTATAACCCACACCCTTGCAATCCTGACTCAGACGTGGTGGAAAACAATTTTACCTTGCTAAATAGTTTCTGGTTTGGAGTTGGAGCTCTCATGCAGCAAGGTATACGATTCAGTCTGCTATTTCTCTTGGGTGCCATGTCCCACTGTTTGCTGGGGGTAATCGTTCTGTTTTTCTCTGGCACAAACTGCTTGCATGGGTACCTCTGTGCATGTAACCATAGACCAGCTTTTTTTAAAAAAACAAACAGGCTTTCAGAAATAAAATGGCAGGAAACGAGCATAAATCAAAACATCAGCATTTTCAGACAGTTCCAGTCTAATTCCAAGAGGAAGTACATGCCATTAATGAACCCAGTAACTTGCATTCTCCAAACACTAATATCTACATCAAGCAAGAGCTGAAAGCATGAACCTCTCCAATCCTTATTATGGTCTACTTTCCAGTATTAACTTCCCCATTCTGTACTTAAGGCCAGAACAAAATGCCATTTAGTGCATGTTTAATAAATGTCATCCCTGTGTGCATTATTGTTTGCAAACAAGCTGCATTGGGGGGGGGGAATGGAGATTAATGAATGACCATTAGTGCACTTGACAGAATAAACATTGATGTATTGCATGCTGTACCTTACCTGAAAGCAAAGATATAAATGACTAAAATATAAATGGTTGCTAAAATAATAGATATGTTAATAGATATATTAACCTGAGAACAAACCATAATAAATAAATTAGTCTGGATGGATGGAGGTTGTAGGTCATACAGCGCATGCCACCTTTAATTTGCTGTGCTCAGTTTGTTATTTATTTTTCTTTTGGGGCATCTGCAAGATTGTTAACATAAGCAATAGAAACTCACTCAGTTTCTAACAAAGCTTTCTCACTACAGTATAAGCTTCTATTGCTCATAAAGAAATTTCGGTGTAATTCCTGTGATTTAAGTCCTCACATTAATTATTTTAAGAGTTATAATTTTTTTAAAAAACTTCCATTACTGCTTCTTGTCCTTACTAGGCTTCATCCATGTTACCATAGTATATTTAAGAATTCCCTCCTCCCCTTCAACTATATTTTTTCATCACTGGTTTTTAAGAGATCCGGACAGCTTTAGGAAGGTATGTGCATAGGTGTAGCTTTACAATCAGGTTTTAATTAATTAATTTATTTTCACTAACAAAAACTACAGAATATGGATAAGGGCAGCTGAGTATCCTAAAACAACATTTTAGGAAAAATAATAGACGCACTATTCTTTTTGGGGAAAAAATAAAGAATATAATTGGCATAATGTCAAAGAAAAAATATTGACCTTGTAATAGACCAGATTAAATTCCCAACAGTAAGAAGCTAGAGATAATTTAACAAACCATTATAGTCATATTACTCTGGATTCTTATAATATTTTAAATTATAGTTCTCCTAATATTGAAAATAACTCCTAGAACAATGAGTACAATCCAGTTAAAGATCTGTAGGCCATACACATTTCAATAGGATAGAGTCATTTCATTACAATACTTTGCATACATCTCAAGTTTCAACATGTGCAGTGTGTCCATGAGATCTCTATTTCTTTTATTATTAAGAGTCCTTCAGAGTAGAATCCCAATTAGAAAAATATATTCCATTAAGTTCACTGCACCTAATTCATGGGCATTTGACTGTACTCTCAGTGCGCACATGTATCACCTCTCCTGTGGGAGCTACATTGGCCGCTGATTTGCTTCTGGGTGCAATTAATGGTGTCATATTTAAAGTATTTAAAGCCTTGGGACCAGGTTATTGGAGGTACCATTTCTCAGATACATTAATACATTAAAATACATAATACATTAATAACTGGTTCAGGAACCATCCATCAGTAAGTGAAAAAATANAAATCTTAAAGTTGCCAAGTTTGAAGATCTCTGTTCTACAAAATATGAACCTCACAAGCAGAGCAAAGTTGCTTCATCTTATAACCCCAAGGGGATAAATCTTAAAAATTTCTGAAGACATATGTATGTTCTCACCTATCAAGTCCCATAATTGCTTTTAATTCTCTATTTATGTAAAGTAGTCCAAAAGCCATTACTTTCAAATTCAATCTATGTATGACACTGTTTCCCGAACAAATCTATTTAATAGAAAAATACATCTTACTTGGTCCTTACTTACAATTGATACACAGGGATTGAGTGGGTTGATTTCAGGCAGGGGTCAAGCCCAGCTCTTATTTTTGTATTGTGGCATAGTCTGCAATCTTTTCAAAGACTGTACTATATGAGATGATGATGATGAAACATGAAATTGGAAAATATAAAAAAGTAAGCGATTACTATAGTCATTTTAATTGCATGCTTGTGTAATGTTGCTATGGTGATAATTATTGATAGTAAATATAATAATTGCAAATAACAGGGATGTTATTATTGTTTTGTTTATTTGTTTGAATTGATTTTTGATGCTTCCTGACCCCAGATGAACTCTACTGATAAATCATGTAACACAGACACATAATTTTGAATTAATATATCATGAAATACAGTCGGCCATGGTAGATTATTTAATTAATATTACTTCATTTGGTTGTCATCTGGTAGATTACCTATTCTTTTTCAATATTTCCTTAATTGCTTTGGTCTACAACTTGTGATGAAATGCAGAAAAAATATTATTAATACTAACTTTAAACAGAAATGAGTTAATGCAGCCTGTGTTTTCTGACTTTGGCTTGGAAACATATACAGATAGAGTGTGTTAAATTGGAGTGCAGCATGCAGCTAAACCATTCTATGCATTTGAATTTAGGATGAATTAAGTCTTCTATTAAACCTTCTACAATAGTTGTTTTAAGTCTTCTGTAATGGTACTTAAAGTGATGGTGAAGGCCTTTAAGAATGTTACTGGCATTATGACCATTCCAAAACCAGGGCAGCAACTGTCATCTAAGTTGGTCCAGAATATGCACCTGAATATTTATTTTAATATATTTAAATGAAAAGAATTTAGGTAAGTTTCCCTTGCTTTCCCTTTTTATACATTCTCATTTGAAAGTAATTTGAAAGTAACATCCTAGCTAGGCTATGTAGCCTGCAATCAGCTTGACATTTATTAGTTCTGAAGTGACTGAACAGTAAATTACGGAATGGTACACAGGTAAGCATCTGGTCTTATGGGCAAAGAATCACAATCAAAATGTGTTGTGTGGGATTTTTAATGCAGCTGTTGGGAAGAAAACAGTTAACTGTTCTAGGCATGGGGTGGGAGAATGTTTAGTATAGATTTGGGACAACAATTGCATACACACAGACACACAAAAATAGTAATCAAAGAAGCTACTGCATTTCCTTCCCAAATTATTCAAAGAATTTTAACCCATTGAGCCATTATACACTATGCAAATTATGCAAGAAAATGAAAAATGATAGGCGATCATAATATTGTTACCTCCTTCCAGATGTTCTTTTGTAGGTGATTTATTTAAAGAATTGCTACTGACTTATTTGTTATGTTGCATTATGAATACCAATATGCTTTCATGTTGATAAAATTTATCCAATATTTAGTTTTTTTAAGTCTTTTTATTTTTTGTTTTCATTTTATTGTGCATATTTCAGTTACATAACTCGCTCTTTTTCTGTTATATTAAATTTACTTCTCATATTTGCTTTTACAAATTCAACAGCAAAAGTTGGTACTTAGCAGTGCATGAATGTAAAAAGATGGTTATTTTTATGTTTAAATCTGTTGGATAAAGTTATCAAATGGCTTTAATTATGTAGATGGAGAAAGGATTCATAATAATTGTTCTTTACTTTAAAAAAAAACTAACCAGTGTTAGTTATGGATCAAGTATGGTGATTATCTTTACATTACTGTAAGCTGTTGGTTATTGAGAAGCAAATGTGCTTATGAATATTGTTATACAAGCAACACATATTTAATATTGATGGGAAGTACAATTTAAATATGAAAATGAATGGTGCACACTCCAACCTCAAATTAACAAAATACAAACATGGGAGAGGTCTCATTTATTCTAAGACATCTGCAAAAGGAAATTCTTTGTGGATTCCACTCAATATTCCAAGCATCTTCTAGGAAACTCTGCAGTATTGAATTTATTGCTTGTTTTTATTTTNACTCTGTTTCAATTGTAGTGGTTAAGGCATCAAGACTCAAAACTGGGGTTCTAGTCCCATGCTCAGGACCTTACAGTTTCATCTGCCATAACTTGTCTTGTTACTATAGTGTTGATGGTTATTTACTTATTCAATTTCTATAGCCATCCACTTTTCCTGATAGGATCTCTGCAGCTCATCTCTGATCAGCCCTTCTAGCTATTTTTTTGGGATGCAGCTCTCCACAGTGTGGCTCACAAGGATTTAGAATAACCAAGGCTGCAGTGAAATCTCTATTGTCCAGGCAGAATCTTATTTACCTAACGTTTTTTTGTACAGTTTTGCTTATATTGCATACTTTACATATACTTTATTGGTATATGCACAACTATTTTCTTTTACTTTCTAACTTTCCTCCCTTTGCTTTTCACCAGAAATTTCACTATCCTTTAAAACACTTACAATCTATTTTATCAAAAGCTACCCAACAATTCACAGATTCCGAAGTAAAACCTACAGTTGCTACACTAATACTGGAAAGCTGAATGACTACAATACTTTTTCAGCTGCCATAATTATCTTTATTATTATTAATGGTAGTTATAGTATTTTTCATGTAACAATACAGTATATTATATATGTCAGCTGTAGTGGATGAAGAAGTGATTTATGCTTTAAGGAGAGGTAAAGAAGTTGGGAGGGAATGTTTTGTAACTACATTAATTTTGTCATAGGCATAACACTTTTTAAATTTTCAGTTGAAAATCTCTCCTCCTGTTTTTTCTAGCGTTTTGGTAATAAATTTGATTCACATGAAATCAACAGGTTCAGTTCAATATAGTTTGCATAATAGGAACCAAACTTTTAGTCCTTTCAACGGGCTTCAGAAAATTTTTCTCTGATGTGAATATGTTGCTGAAATTAGTTTATAATTGTAGCCCCTGAGCAACAACACAAAGTGGAAAATTTCATCTATATTTGTAGATGCCATTAACAG